ATGACTGTTTCTATTTCTTCAGCATATTGAGGTCTATTTAATTTGCTTATCTGGTCTTGATTTAATTTTGGTAAGTGATATTTATCCAGCAAATTGTCCATTTCCTTTTAAGTTTTTCAATTTTGTGGAGTACAGGTTTTCAAAATATGACCTAATGATTTTCTGGGTTTTCTCCATGTCTGTTGTTAGGTCCCCCTTTTTGTTTCTGATTTTGTTAATTTGCATAGTCTCTCTCTGCCTTTTGGTTAGTTTGGATAAAGAGTAAACACTGTTCTTATAGAAGGTTTCTCAGACAGAATTTATTGTTTATTTTTAAAGAAAAAACCAGATCACTGTCCTTTGACTGCAGGAGAAATAATAGGACCAAGATGTGTCTCTGTGCACCTTCCTTAGCTGCATCATGCTCTGATTGCTTCACAGAATGTCGTCTTCAGACTATTTTTGGCTCTATTTTGTGCGGTTGAGGATAGGCAGTGCTTATTTCCCCAGAGGATTTCATGGCAACGAATGCATTGCAGTTTCTGACCTCACAGGGTGTGGCAGGCAGCAAGGAAAGCGGCCTTGGAAGTCTGGGTTCTGGGTTTGGCTCTGTTGCTTGCTGTGATTCTTTCACCCAGGGAGAAGCTACTTCATTATTTCATATTTACAGAGCTGTTTGAATGGGTAACAAGGAAAAAAGGCACAAAGTTTTCTAGCACCCTTGCATTGCTGCAGGAGTTGAGATGTACCTGAGAGCTGTCAGCACCCTCACTGTAAATAACGCTATGCAGGCAGATAGGTTAGTTGTTGACTCTGACCTGTTAGGTAGTCTCACCTGGGAATGCCAGCTTTGGCATGGGTAACGCTGTTTGATCCAGAATGCTTAGAGTGTGTGATGATGAGTATACCTTTGCCTTGAAAGCTTAAAACATGACCCATTTGGCAGTGTTCATTTATAATGCCTTTATTTTTTAAGGTAAATACAGCAGTCCAGTTAATTTTGGTGGCAGCTTCTTTGGCAGCTCCGGTTTTCAATTATGCTGACAGCATTTATCTTCAGATACTGTGGTAAGCTACATTTAGAATTTCTCTGAGAATATCAGTACAATGGCTTATTGTGACAAGCCTAGAGTGACTTTGTTCTTGAAGTATTAGATGACAAAACTCTGGCCACCCCCTCTTCTCTTCCTTTCAATTCTTTTCCTCTACTACTTTTCCTGGTTTTATTTGCTGTCTTTTTTTCTTTCTAAATGCTCAGTGAGTCCACTTAATGCTACTTGTATGTGCACAGGTATATAGTACTCTCTACTAGAACATGGTAACCTCTAATGAACCATATACCTGAAGGAAACCAATTTTCCTCCCCTCTTCCCCCCAGCAGCTATCAATTGCCAGTAGCATCTCAGAAAGGGGTAGAATTTCATGAGTCCCAACTTTTCTTCATGCAGAGATTTTGGCTGGCTTGTGGCTGTTCTTAATGCATGCCTACAGTCATAGCCACTGTACGTTTATGTGTATAGCGTCACCATCATGTTCAGTAAGTACTGTTTTTGTTGCAAATGCCCACGCTTCTGTCTCTTAAAAATTTTCCCTACTTGCATTATGATCCCTAAGCTTTGGGCATAGGGAATGTGATATAGCTCTTCTGTTTGCAGCTGGGTACTAAACAGACTCTCATAACCAACAGTTTGCCTAACTTTGAACCCTGAAATCTATAATAGCAAATGTTTGCAGTAGTGGCACAAATATTATGGGAATAACCAACTACTTTCTGATTGGATTTAAAACCTTCTCCACATGATGGCACTAAAGCCCGGTTCTGTTAGCAGGACCCCCAAACCATTGCCTGGCTAAGTCATAGACTAAAGGAGAGAACTTAGTACTATCATTCTGCTAAATGGACATAGGATTAGTTGTCCCTAAGTTCCTGTCTTTATACCCATGTGTTAGTGCATCTCCCAACCCTACAGAGAAGATGGTGACTAACACAGCTAGCCGGTGTGCCCTGTCATTCTTTTTGTTTGTTTGTTTGTTTTTTCAAGATAGGGCTTCTCTGTATAACAGCTCTGTCTGTCCAGGAACTCTCTTTGTAGACCAGACTGGCCTCAAACTCACAGAGATCCACCTGCTTCTGCCTGAGTGCGAGGATTACAGGCGTGCGCCACTACCACCTGGCCGTGCGCTATCATTCCTAACCTTACTCTCAGGCATGGAGCATAGAAGTTAGCAGTCAAACGTGGAGGAATGAAGAGTATTGCCGGTGTGTTAAGAATTTTAGAGGAAGAAAAAGTAATAATAGGGATAACTACAGGAAGGAAGTGGCATTTGAGCCATAACTTCAGGTGAGCTGGATCCTCTGCAGACATTTTGGACAGCGGTGCTGAGGATCCATCTTAGTAGAGGGTGTGGTAGGAGGATACCCAGTGAAGCGCTTTGAATCTTATTTGAATGTGCTAATTACTGTTGTGGGGTAATCTTTTTGTGCCTTGTGAAGATGTGTCATTGTGATTGTTTTAGTAAGGAACGGAATGGCCAATAGGTAGGAAAGGATAGGTGGGACTTGTTAGGAGAGAGAGGAACTTTTGGAAGAGGAGGAGAGTGGGATTCACCAGCCAGACACGGAGGGAAGTCGGACATACAGAATAGAGGAAAGGTAAAGAGCCATGTGGCGGAGCGTAGATTAACAGAAACGGGTTAATTTAAGTTTTAAGAACTAGGTTGGAACAAGGCTAAGCTAAGGTCAAGCTTTCATAATTAATAATAAGTCACCGTGTCACTTAGGGCTGGGTGGTCTAAAGGAAGTTTGACAAGAAAGCTTATTTGTGATTATTTGTAAATGTCTTGAAATGTGTCAACTTAAACTTTAAGCTTTCTATATAGACTATCATTATTGATTTTGAACTATATTTTGGTAAGCTTCTAATTATAATTAAAACATGCTTTAGCAGTCTGTAACAAAGGTGGTTGGTTAACCAAAGTAAAGTATGTATCATTTTAAAAATGATACAATCTGAACTTTATTTTCTTACATAAAATGAAAGGTTTATTTTCCTTTGTGTTTTTATTTATTAATGGAGGTTTTCTCTCTCTCAAACTGCATCCATGTATAACTTGGTTCTCCTGTTTTTGCTTCAGGTAATGCAAGGTAATTTAGTTATGTGCCAAGCCATCTAAGTAGGAGCTGTGTAGATTTGCGCCATATTTCTCCAGTCTTTTTACAGTTGTCTCCATTCTGTCTGCATGAAGATGTTTTTGTGGGAGAAAAAGAGAGCACAGAGCACCACGGTTGTAGTAGGAAAGGAGAGTTGCTAGGACTGCTGGTCTGTAGGCCTCGATAATTAGAGACTTTTACTTGGCATCACCAGTTCAGATGTCTTAAAGGAAGTCGTGGATTTAGATTTTTGTAGCTAGACAATTCTGTCACATAGTTCTATTTTCTTAGTCCATCTTTTACATGTGTACTTTATGATTTTTGCTGTTAGTGTTTTTAGATTTGACAGCTGAGTCCCATTTCTCCCCTCCCAAGGTGTTGTACAGCCTTCACTACAGCTGCGTCAGCATACAGTTATTATCACTATGGTCGGAAAACTGTCCAGGTAATAAAGGGCAAGTGAGAGACACCCGGCTCCAGCAGCAAGGAAGCAGCTTGCATCATCGATAGCAGTGCCAGCGAAAGCTACAGGACTTTCCCCATCTTGGTGTTCAGCTTGAGAAAGAACTTGTCAGACAAACCATGTCTTCAAACCGAAGTAATGTACGTTGAAAATAAGCTCTATCATGGGCCTATGCAGAATTTCCAGTGTATTTTTAAATACAAATAAAACTATAATGTAGAATTTTTAATCCTAAGTTTTTGATTAATTCGTGAGATGAATTATTCTAGTTACTGTTTTTTTAAAAATGTTTTTCAAAAACATTGTTGATAGCATTGAAACAGAAAAGCAGGAGGGATTTCCTGAGATTAGGTATATACCCTACACAGCGTGGCTACGCATTTTTATGTTTGAATTTTAAGTCTATATACACATTAACAGTTTATGTGGTTAATACTTGACTGTTTGAAAAGATGAGAATAAACTTAACTGTGGGTAGGGTAAAGGTGTACAGAGACTTAAAATGTACAGAGCTTTGAAAATAAAAAAGATCAAATAAAATAGATGGTATTGGAGTTCATCAGTAGTCTTCCAGCCTCTCAGGTACCAAATAGTTTATGTATTAGGATAACAGGTAACACAGGAGTCAGAAAGGAGAACATGTAATAGGCTTTGCTTCTAAAAGGCGGAGAATTACATCATGCCTCCCCACTACTTCAGATGTGATGTTTGTATGATATTGTAACCTGTACTCATATGTCATGTAAATAATATAAAACTTTATATTTTTTGGAGTCTTTTGTTTTTTTTTTTAAAGCTTTGGAGAATCTTCTATTGTTAACTTAATAAAAGAATAAAAGAGCTGAGGAAAACGTGCCTTCCACTTGGGTTGTTCCGTGGTATATCTTTATGCAGTTGTAGAAGTTTCCCAATCTATGAAGTGCACTAAGATGCAGCACTTCCCCTTACGTGGTAAAAACAACTGGTTCAGGACCATTTGACTTTAAAGACTTGCCACATCTTATGTTTAGGATAGTGGGTGCAGGTAGGGTCAGAAAGCTGGGGGTTCCTCTACATACTGGAAGCCTTTGGTTGACCTTTCTCCTAAGTTTTAGCCTAAGTGTAATGTGGAACCATATAGTAAGACTCTGCTCATTCATTTCCCGGCTACCCAGACCCAAAATAATCACACAGAAACTATATTAATTACAATACTGCTTGGCCAATAGCTTAGGCATATTTCTAGCTAACTCTTATTTGAATTAATCCTTTCTGTTAATCTGTGTATTACTACAAGACTGTGGCTTACCAGTAAGGTTCTGGGTAGCTGTTGACCTTTCTCCTTCAGCAGCTACCTGGTGTTTCTCTGACTCCACCCTCTTTGCTTCTCTTTCTGTGCTTGGAATTCCTGCCTTGCTCTATTCTGCCCTGCCATAGGCCTAAAGCAGCTTCTTTCTTAACCAATGGTAATAAAACATAATCACAGCATACAGAGGGGAATCCCCATCAACTCTCCAGTCAGTTTATTGAACTGTGTTAAAACAGAAGTTAGAGATAACTAACTCAAGCTTCCTTGCATTTTTATTGGTGCAACTCTGTTGCTGGTCCTGGCTTCTCACATCGCCAGGTACCAGATTATCTACTGTGGTGGTTTGAATGAGAATGTCCCAAAGTTTTGGTTGTTTGGATGTTTTGTCACCAGTTAGTGTCACCATTTGGGAGAGATTTAGGGGGTGTGGCCTGGTTGGAAGAAGTGTGTCATACTCCTGAGGTTTCAACGCCATGTGCTGTTTATTCCCAGTTCACTCGCAGCCCCAGGCCTCTGACACAACAGCTCTGCTCAACCAGGAGCCGCCTGGGGACTCTAGCTCTTGGCTGCAAAAGCAACGGCTCCACGCCATGCTTGGTTGGTAGGTCTCCATCAAGCACTGCCCGAGGGCCCTGCACCCTAGCCCCTGCCTGCAGCACAGCAATAGCTCTGCGCCATGCCATGCCACTGGCTGGTGGTGCAGGACTCAACTAGGAGCCACCTGGACTCTAGCTACAGGCTTGGACGTAGCAACAATGGATCCAAGCCATGCCATATGGCTGGTAGGAACACTAAGACACCATTATGGCGAGCAAATACAGTATGGGGAAGTGAAAGAGAATAAGGTGGAGAGGTCCATGGGCTGGAGAGAGCCAGATCTGAGGAGGGGAGGGTGGTGAGAAACAGACCAGTGTGAAAGGCCTTGCTGCCACCTGAGTCCAAGGTGATGGCTGCATCTGTTGGGCTAGTCGTGGTCCGAGGCCCTGAAGCAGCTGAATTGATGTCTGGCTCCTGTTGCTGCTGAGGGCCATGCAGAGGCCTGTGGTCTGGACCACCACTTGGGGTTAGATAGGGATTGGGGGTGGGGTGGGGTGGGAGGTGCAACTGCTGTCTGGGGCTATGGTTCTGCCACAGCCAGGATCAGTATTGATGTCTGTGGCCCACGTTGCCACCAGTGGCCACACTGATCCCTGGGGTCTGTGAATGTCTGAGGGCCTTGCTGCCCCCAGGGCCATGCTGATCTGAGTGGTATCATCTAGGCCAGGGCTGCTGCTTGGGCCATGTCTGGATCCGTGGCTCTACAGCAGCCAGGGTCTGAGTTGATGTCCATGGCCCATGATACCACCAAAGGCCACACGGATCTGGTCAGCCAGGAGACTGTTGGTGTCCCAGGGCTGCTGCCGAGGGTCATGTCTGGGTCCGTTGATGTCCATGGCTTGTGCTACCGCAGGGGTCATAGGAGCCAAGCGTGTTGAAATCTGAAGGTGGTGCCAAGCTGTCCCTGGAATAGCTAACTCTGTTGCTCACTGGAGACCGCAGCAGGAGTGCTGCCCCCACAATCAGGAAAGAGGGCCCCACTCCTCACCATGCGCATGCGCCTCACCTGGGTAACACACTAGAGCTGCCGCTGTTGTCAGGACGCAGGTGAACCAGCTCTGAGGGTGGCTGACCCTGCCACTCACTGGTCTACCATGTGGTGGCCTGGAGAAACGATCCCTCCCCACTAGTCAGTCCTGCACTACATGACTGTACTCGAGCTGGTAGCCGGGAACTAAGCCGGAGACTTAAAAACACACACACACACACACAGACAGGCAGAAAGACACAGGGACACGGATCATTCTTGATACAAGAATGCCAAGTTTATTGTGCTCCAGGGAAGCTTATATAGGGATCCTTAACTGATAGCCACGCCCCAGCTCTCGGCCTCACCAGAACCCACTACCCTCCCCCCCTCATCAGGGTCTCCACTCTCAGAGCAGCTGCAGGCACAGGTAAACAAGTTGTTTTGCTCAGTTCACTCCAGCAGGCAAGGGGTCTGAGGCAGGCAAAGAAAGCCACGGGGCCAGGGATCTGCAGCCCCCCACGGTGGTGGTATAGGTGAGGAAAAGCTGCCTGAGGTCACGCGCGAGAGAGAACTAGCCTGGTGCCTCACTGCTGCGGCACACAGAAGGGTCTGAGTTTGAGGCCAGTATGGGCTGCAAGTAAGACCACGTCTAGACTTTGGGGAATGTAGAACTTGTGGTTGTTTTAGGCATTAGGTCATAATTTCTGCATGCAGATGTTTGATTGGAAAAAAGAAGCTGGGATAATTGCAGGTCTGGAGCCTCAGCAGGTGGTCAAAGGCTGGTCTGTTGTTTCATTTGGCTGCTAGAGATTAATCCAAGGCCTCAAATGTGTCTGATTTTGATGTTGGGGATAAACCCAAGACCTTGCGCACAGGTAAGTCACTACCACTGAGTTACTTCCTCAGCCCTGGCCGGGTTTTTGAAGGCCACCAGGTCAGTGTCATAGAACTGCCTGTGTGGCCTCCAGCGCTGCCTCCAGAGACACACAGACAGCACGAGGGTGGTAACCAGTAACAGGCCACTGGAGGTACACAGTCCCCAGAAGATGAGCACAGAGCTGGGCTTGGTTGTGAAGGTAGCACATGACCTCTTCCAGCCTGAGGTCTGCGGCTGGCTCAGGCCAGCCCTGTTGGCTGCCTGTACACACACCTGGTAGGTAGTGCTTGGTGACAGCTTGTACAGGGGGTGCTGCCGGGCTGTAGCATAGATGTCCACCACTGACTGGTTCCCAGATCCTCCTTCTGCCAAGTAGCTGATCTGGTACCAGTGCACCACTGAGTTGGGGGCACACCAGTGGACGAGCATCGACGTGTCAGTCATCTCTGAAACCCCCTGCAGCTTGGGAGGGTCTGGGATGCTGTCTTCCCCACTGAGGCCAGGGCAGCGGCATCTGAAGCGCCTTTGCAACTCTGCACATGGGGTCTGCAGATGCTTGCAGGGGTGGTAGTCGCAAGAGACATCCTGGTGAGGAGCTGCCACCTGATGCTGAGTCTCCTCCTCTTCCTCACTGTCGTCATCTAACAGCAAGACTGGGATCCTGTCCTGTGGAGGATGTGTGCGGAGATCCCTGGTGGTGGCTTGTGTCCTCTGGTTGGTCTGAGAGACGCTCCTGGGGTTTGGTGAAGTAGGCCAGGGTCCAAGGTGTTTGCCGGGCAGTGTAGTGGAGGCAGGTGAGATACTGGGCTCAGGGATACGTGTGGCAATCTGTTCTGCCCTGGTGCCGGTAGCACCAGGCAGAGCCCTGGAGGGTCTGTGAATTGTCACAGAGTCAGCAGTGGCCTGGGTAGCTTCCTCTGAAATATCTCTATGCATCTGTGACCCTTGTGTGAGAGAAGCCACGGTATGGGAAGAGACCTTAGTCATATTTTGTTGGCTTCCTCCAGGTTGAGCAGACAGGGTCGTGCTCTGTCCAATGGAAGGACCCTGTGTCCGCGGTGCAGAAACTGGATGATCAAAGTGGGGTGGGTTTGAAGCCAGGAGGGTGGTGCTTTGGTCTGACCTGCACACCGTAGACAGCTGGGAGAGGGAGAGAGGGCCAGAGAAGGGGCCCTCGGATCCTGGAGCCGGCTCACACATGGTATCTAGTGCCCTGGAGGGAAAATTAATCATTAGGAGATACTTGGTTTCAGGGTTTTAACCCCTCAATGGCAAAGATCTCCTTTGCCAACACATATCTACCAGGCATCACCTAGTAACACCATTTTATTGACCCAGGAAACCTTTGAAGGAAGTTCCTGTCACCCCTTCTTCTGGGCAGAGAAGGAAACCGGAGGGAGGTGCTAACTGCCCAAGACGCCATAGCTAGCCAATGGCAGAGCATAAACCTGGGAAGCACTGTGCAGTAGGAACTGTCATCCCCACAGAGTGTGACAGTCATACCTATAGTAAGAAGTGGAATAAAGCCAGACTTCAGCGTGTGCTTGCAACATGATTTTTACCGGCACAGGGCAACCCTGATTGCCAAGGGATTTGGTGCATCTTAGAAAAAAGCTTTTCTAAGCCAAGAGAGACCATTAGAACTTGTTTCCTGCCCTTGAGAAAGCTCTGTAAGCATACTTAGATTGAATGGCCAAGAGCAGGAAGCTAGGACATCTTGGGGAGGGGGGTCAAGGGACCTAGCGGTTAAGAGCACAGATGTAGATGAAGACCGATACTGCCTCCTTCAATAGCCACATGAATTTATCAAGTACCTCACTTGCTTGGGCTCCATTCCTTTGTCTGTAAAAGGGAGAAATGGTACAGCTGGTTTTCCTTTCCCTACAGAGCATGCAGACTACATTTTCCAGCCTCCTTTGCTGTGCCCTGTCCACTAACTGTTGGCCAATGAATATGAGTGGAACTGGGAGCACCATCTCGCAGCTTCATCCATTTAAAAACTCCCAAGTCAGTTTTCCCATGTTCTTTGCTTTTTCTGGCT